AGCCTAAATCAATAGGAAAAAAAAGAATTTTACAAATAATGAATCAGTAATCAAATAAAATGAAATGAAAGGATGTTGTTGATCTATTTAAGACAAGAAAGGTTAGTTAAGTGACATAACTAATCTTATTTATAAAAAAACAAATTAATAACTTAGTCTTTATACATTTACTTATTATAATAACAATAACCAAATGATATTAACTTTTTATTTCTTTTATCAATTAAACGAATATTTTTGAATCACAGAAAGCCATTTACTAGATGAAACAGCTCCAGATAATGTCACTTGTTTACCATTACCAAATTCAACTATAAAGAAGGGAACACCACTAATTCCCATTGAGTGCCAATTATTTATTTCTCTCATTACAATATCTTTATTTTCTTCACTAGTAATGATTCTTTTTGCAATAGTCAAATCTAATCCACATCGTTCAGCAGCTTCCATTAACCCACTTTGAATACTTAAATTTTTACCTTCTTCATAATTCATTTGGAAGTAAATTCCCATTAACTCATTCCCTTTTCCTATGGAGTTAGCATAAATCATTAGTCTATGACAATGAAGAGAATAAGGCCAATATTTCCATTGTGCAAAATTACATCCATCTGTTTTAGAGTCTCTAATCATTGAATAAGTCCATCCATCTCCACCCCATCTACGGACATTATACGCCATATACTCTTCACCGTCTTTCTTTGTTTTCATATCAATAATATATGGATGATATTCATAACTTATTTCCTTATCTTTTATTGTTGAAATTGCATTTAACATCCTTTTACGTCCTACATAACACCAAGGACAACTAACATCACTTATAATAGTAATATGTATTTTCTCCATTTAAGTATTAAATGACTTTTTAAGTTCTTAATATCTTTTTAAGAAATTACAATTTACTTGAAGTTATTTTTCTTTTATCCCTTTGAAATAATAATTCTGTTAACAACTTAATACTAAAATGAGAAGTATCATTTAAAAGGAATGTTTCTATTCTATTTAAAATCAACTTTATTATCAAGTCATTTTGACTCCTTTCTATTTTTATAAAGATAATTTAGAGTCTGAAAATAAAAAATTTCAAAGAATTTTTTATCTTTATTCTTTTACAATTTTATTTCTATTATTTAATCGGATGAAAAGAAGGAAATTATCTTTTTTCATTCATATTATTATATATAAAAATAACACATCTCTTTATCGTCAATAACACAATATATTTTATTTTCTTTTTTTTTAATAAATTTGTTGTATTTTGAATTTATAAATAATCTGAGTTTAATAAATAATTCGATAACTTCAAAAATGTTATTGATTGCTTTATTAGATATTACTCATATTTATTAAATTTTATCAAAATACTTGTAAATTTACTTGTTGAAATTCTTCATGAAATAAATTGTAGTTAGAAGAATCTAAAACTATTTTGTTCAGTAAATTTAAATTCTTAAATAGAAAAATTATATTAAATGAATATTTTAAATTAAACATTTTTATTCATAAGAGTTTCAGAATAAAAACATTTACATTCTTATTGTTTTGATTATTAAATTTAAATTGTGATAAAAAAGAACAAAAAAAAAGTTTAACTGATTCAAAGAATTAAATTAATTTATATTCCAATTGTTGTTAAAACAAATTACTTACATTATGCTTTTATCAAAATACAATAGAAGAAAGATAAAAGAATTTCAAAAAAGATATTAATTAAAATGAAGTTTTTATAAAAAGTATTTTAACTTTTCTTCATAATAATATAAATAGATTCTGAAGTTTATTTCAAGACAACTAAAAGTAGTAATAATTGTTTAAAGTTATTGTAAAAAATATTAAACAAAGCACTTTGAATCTGTGACAAAGAACTTTTCTATGTATATTTACAAGACATTATTATCTTTTTCACTCATTATCAAAAAAGAATAAAAAAGGAATAAAAAACATATTTTAAAGAAGTAATGTTTTAAAATACCACGTCACGAATATTGTAATCCACATCAATTGAATTATGATTCATTTAAAAAAAAACAAGAAAAAACCCTATTTTTTTTTTAAAACAAAACAAAAGAAAAAGAAAAATGAACTTAAATAAAAAAATCATCAAATGCCAACAATTAGTTGTGATAGCAAATATCTTTTTAAATTAATTGGAAAAGAATTTAGTTTGTAAATAAGAAATTATTTAATTTAAGTTAATATAACAAATAATATACTTAACAGAATAGCTGAAAAAGAATTTGATGAAGTATGTTTTCAATATGGAATTGAACTTGATGATGTTGTTGAAGAAGAAGGAAAAACAATATATAAAATTGAAGTTGGAGCAAATAGATATGATTTATTATGTGTAGAAGGAATTGCTATTTGTTTAAAAACATTTTTAAAAATGAGAGAATTTCCAAAATATACAGTAAAATCAGTTTGATAGAAATCTTACATAAATAATAGAAAAATAAAAACTAATAAAGAATAGAGTGGAATTCAAATTCATGTTGGTAAAGACGTAGAAAAAGTTAGACCAATTTGTATGGGTGCAGTGTTAAGAGGAATTACATTTACAGAAGAAAGTTATAAGAGTTTTATTGATTTTCAAGATAAATTACATCTTACAATTGGAAAGAAGAGAAGTTTAGTTGCAATAGGAACACATGATTTATCAACATTAGTTGCACCATTTAGATATGTTGCAATGAAACCTGAAGAAATTAAGTTTGAACCATTAAAATGTGATCATGAAATGACAGGAAATGAAGTTATTGAACATTTTTCAAATGATCTTAAATTAAAAGAGTATGTTCCATTATTACAAGGAAAAGAAGTTTATCCAGTCTTTTTAGATAGTAAAAATATAGTTCTTTCACTTCCACCTTTAATTAATGGAAATCATTCTAAAATTACATTAAATACACATGATGTATTTATTGATATTACTGGAATGGATAAAACTAAAGTTATGATGGCACTTCAAACTGTTGTTACATGCTTTTCTCTTTACACTTCAACTCCATTTGAAATTGAAACAGTAGAAGTTGTTGGAGGACCAATGAATGAATTTGATGATAAAAAATCAATTCATACACCAACATTAGAAGAACAGCATATGAAAGTATCAAAGGATTATTTAAATCAGTCATTAGGATTAGAATTAAAAGATGAAGAAATTACAGAATTATTACATAAAATGGGAATTCAATATTCTAATGGAGAAGCTATTATTCCACCAATGAGAACAGATGTAATGCATCCATGTGATATTATGGAAGACCTTGCTATTTCATATGGATTTAATAATCTTCATGCTTCAAATACTATAAGTAGAACATGTGGTAAAGAGTTATTACAAAATAAAATGAAAGATTTATTAGCTGATGAAATTGCATATGCAGGATATACTGAAGTTATTACTTTTGTATTAATGTCAGTAGCTGATGCAGCTACAAATTTAAGAAGACCAGAAGAAGGATTAATTAAATTAAAAGATTCAAAAACACTTGAATTCCAAACAGCAAGAAAAAGTTTATTATCAGGAATGATGAAATGTTTATATTATAATAAAGCATATCCAATGCCAATTAGAATGTTTGAAGTTGGTGATACTGTCTCATTACAAGAAGGTAGTTTAACAGGAGCAGTTAATAGACAACAAGTATGTGCTTTAGTCTGTTCTCCAACTGGATTAATGGAAGAAATTCATGGATTATTAGATAAAATTATGTTCTGTTATGGTGTTGGATATAAAAAAGCAAGAAAAGAAAATGGACCACATTATGATATTGTCCCTGGTAATGACCCTGCTTACATGGAAGGAAGAAGAGCTGATATTATGATTAATGGAGTTAAATATGGTATGTTTGGTGTATTACATCCTGAAGTACTTAAAAACTTTGAAGTTGACAATCCTGTCGTTGCATTGGAACTTTATCTTGATTTTCCTAATGGACTTTAATTTGAAAATGAACTTCGTTTAAAATGTCTTTGTTTCTTTTTAATTTGTTTTAATAGTAAAGTTTTTCTTTATCATTTCACTTTAATACTTATTACATCCTTTTGTTTTACTCAATGTTTTTCTCTCATTTGAAATACTCATTTCCTTTGTTTTTAGCATCTTAATACCACAACGTTTTATTATTTCTCAAATTCATTATTGATTGAAATTTAGGAGAAGTTGTTATTTAATTGTTTATTATATAATGTGCTGTTAATATATAAGACAAGTGAATAGTGTTATGGAATAAAAGACTTTGAAATATTATGATAATTAAAATATTTCAATTGATTGGTTATTTTCATTTTGTTTAAAGATTTCAATAGAGGAAATAAATTGTAGTCAAACTACAAAAAGTCATTTGAAAGTGTTATACTTTTTATTCTTTTCATTATTGATATCAGTTATAGTAACTATAATCCTCAACACTATATCTTCTAAATGTTTTTTTTTGAAAGTTAATATGGAGATAATCAATTTAAACAATAATATATTAATTGATAAGGTTATGGTTTTAATATCTCTTTCACTACTTCTTTTTAATTGGTAACATTTGATGAATATATTTTTATATAATTGACATATTGTTAATTAGATATTTAGTAGAACAATTGCTAATTACAATAGCTTTCTTTTTGGTGTTTTTAATCCATCTTCCATCAAAAATTCACTGAACTATTAATGTTCTATGATGCGTTGATTTATTGGTGTTCATTATATTAAAATCTTCATCAAATATTTTGGTAAGTTTTTCATCATATCTTCTGTTATAATTTGATGTTAAGACATATTCATTATATTGTTCTACTTCTTTCAATAACTATCTTGTTAGTTTTGTTTCATAATGACATAATTAATTTATTATAATATCATAATCGGTGAATTAATAAATATACTTTACTGTTTTTATTATTATTTATTCTTTATACTATGATAGTAAAATCAAATTGGAAATTAGAAAGGTCAATATTGAATGAGATGAAATAGATTTAATAAATATAAATGTTTATAATTAAACAGACGATTTGAATGTTATTTGTGTTAATTTATCACATCCATAAAAACACATCCAATCTATCATTTTAGTATGTTGTGGAATGGAAATTGATGTAAGAGAAATACAATGTGAAAAACATTTATCACCAATTAATGTTACATTTTGTGGAATATTAATTGATTTTAATGAAGTGCACCCACAAAAACATTTATATCCAATTGATTTTATATTTGATGGAATTATTATTGTTTCTAAATCAATACAATGACTATAACATTCATTTTCTAATCTATTAACATTCTCAGGAACATTATTTCCATATTTCTTTCTATCTTCTTTTGTATAACAAATATTCTTACATTCATTTCCTTTCTTTATTTCTTCAATTGCATCGCTATATGTCTGTTTATACCATATAACTTTCTTATTGATTTTCCCTCCTTCTATTTTTTCTTCATTTTCTCTTCTTAAATGAATTGTTTCAATGTTAGGAAAGTATTTTCTTGTTGTAGTGTTAATTTGAATTGGATTGAAATGAAATCTTTCCATATTCCCTTCATACTTTTTGCATGTCATTTCAAAGTTAATAAAGTCATTAATACTTTCAAAATATCTTGAGACAATCATCCCTGTGTATTTATCAAGTGTTCTTTTCATATATTTTTTGTTTCTATCTATCTTTTAATACCAACATTAGTTTTTGTGTTGTTTTTAACTTTCTTCTTATTGTTATTTTCGTGTTTTACACTTTCTATTTTGTTATGGGTAAGTTAAATATTTCTCAAAGTTTTTCTAGAAATCTTTTGATTACTTTAATTAATTCATCATTTTCAAGAATGTCATTATGTTTACATCCATTGATTATATCATATCCATACCTCATCTCCTCTGGAATTGAGTTGTAGATTTCTACTGACTCATCAACTCCTATCAACTCATCTTCTTGTCCATGAATTACTTCAACTGGAATATTAATATGTTTCAATTTTGGTATGTTTTCAAACATATCAGTCATTACCATTCCTGCATATTTACTTACCACTCCACAAATGCTTGTGAATGTTGAGATAATAATCATTCCCCCTATCTTTTTTTCCTTTTTTTCTTCTTCTTTCTTTTCTTCTTTCCTTTCAAAATCCTCTTTCATCTCAATTTCTTGTGTTTCTTCCCATTTCCCACATTCCTGACTTGCAAATGAAATACTCACTCCTCCTCCAAGAGAATGCCCCATCAACACCATTCGTTCTCATGTTATTCCATTGTCATGCAGATAATTACAAACATCCCTAAGATCCTCCACACTATTTCTTTCACTGCTTTCTCCCTCATTTCTACCATATCCTGTATAGTCATATCCAACAACATTACATTTTAATTGATGTGCTAGATTTTCTATGAATGGTAAACACATCCCTAAATCTTGTGAATTTCCATGGCTGTAGATTATTGTCCAGCATTTCCTATCAATCAGTTTTCTTCTCACACTCTCTTGACAGCAACAAACATGCATTTGTCGTTGTTTTTCACCACTGCAATTGGAATATATCCATCACGATTTTTCTTTTTAATCATCATGAAATTGTGGTTGAAGTATGTTGGTGGGGGTGGGGTAAATGTCAGCATCTTCACAATTGACTGCCCCATTCACTTCACAATAACACATTCAAGATTTTAGTTGATTGTATTAGAGTGTTATATATAACGAAATGCTGTATTTATCAAATAGTTTTATGATATTTTCAAAGTTATTTTGTCATCTTCTTGGATTATTTTTTATTTATTACAATGGGTTATTTGCTATTCTATGTCAAATATTTTCATGCTTATCATTTTATTGAACATTTATTATCAGTATTAGAAGTTGTTATTTGTCATAGTCGTATGTTATTTAATTCTATTCTTTTATATGTTTATTGTTTATTTATTCTATACTTGTTTTGTATTTTAATTAAGTAATAAAGAGAGAAAATTCAATAAGAATAATAAATATAATATAGTGTTGATGAAACAAAGAGTCATGAATGAGAAAATTAAATGAAATTGAAGAGAAAATGAAAATAAAAGAAGAAAATGAATAAATATTTTAATTAGATTATTCAGTATTGTGTATCTATTACTATAATGTATTTCAATTAGTGATATTAATGAAGATATAGAAGAAATAAAGAAATAAAGAAAGTTTTTTATTAATAAGATATTTTTATCAATAATCCAATATAACACAAACTATATACTAAGAGTATTTCAATCATTTGATGAATATGATGTTATAGTTTATTACAATAAGATGAAGAGTCTATAGAATATATAACATTCAGAATAATGAAAAATGAAATATAAAATAAATAAATATGACTAATAGAATGATGATAAATACTAAAAAGAGTTGATTAAAAATAGAATAAGTTATATGATTAAATTCAAATATCAAATAGAAATATCAGAATGAAAAAAAATGTGATAGTTACTAAATGATAATATAAATCAAACAATGAGATTATCAATGTTTTTGTTTAAACAAATAATAAGTTATTCAAATGGAATATAATAAACACACAATATAATATTCAATATTCAAAATAAATAACATAGTATATATCATGATAAAAATGAGAAAATAATAATGATGAAGAATATAATTATAATTAAAAGAAAAGAAATATAAAGAGATAAATGAAAATATGATAAAATAATAACAAATTAACATAAAACCAAATACATGAAGAAGAAGTAAATAAAATGACTGAGTATGAATAATATAAATAAAACAAGAATAAAGGAAATAGAAAATACAAATAACGAAGATATAAAACAAGAATAGAAAAAAAAAACAATATAAAGAAAGATATTAACAATAGAAACATAAATTGATAAAAATAGACAAAGAAAAAGATAGAAATAAAAGAATGAATAAAATAAATAAATAGAAAAATAAAACTAAGAAAGAGAAGGTAAATAAAATTAAGAAGAATATAAAGAATAATTCAGTCAAAAAAAAGAAAAAATAACAAACAATAAGAATAAATACAATATAAACAATGATTTATACAAGAAGAATTATCAAACAAAGAAAAATAATAAATAAACAATAAATATGAGAATAATAAATATATGAAAATGAAGAAATGAGTAATAAAATGAACCAAAATGAAAATCAATATGAATAAATATGATTGAATGATATTATTTAAAATATTTCAGCATAAATAACAATGATATAATAAAAATAATAAAAATAAAGTAAGAAAAAGAGATAGAGAATAATGTATAAATAATATTATATTAATATTAAAAAGATAAAAATACAATACAATTGTAGACAAAATAGTTGTTTAAATGTATTATATACATTATATACAAATATGAATAAAAAAGAAAATAAAGAAGATAGAGATAATAATAAAATGAATACCGATATTAATGTTGATGAAATATATTAATAAGAAAAGAAACATTAATAATACGTAATGAAAAAAATGAAATAAAGAAAGATAAATTGAGATATAATATGAAATAATAAAAATGAAAATGTTAAAGATAAAATGATGAAGAAATAAAATAAAGAATATAAAGTCACTAATAAAATAAATAATAAAAGAATAGATGAAAATGAAGAAACAAAATGAAATAATTAACAAATATGATGAGTGAAGTTCAAATTAAAATATGACAATAGAAAGAGATACAATATCACAAATATTACTTGTATTAACACTATATCAATTAATGAATAAAATAGATGAATATATAAAATTTGATAAAAAAGAAATGTAAATCAGATAATAAAAAGAGGAAACATAATCAAATAAAAATAAATAAAGAAGATATGAATAATAAAATTGTATAATTATATTCAAATATTTTCATAAAATAAAGAAGAATTGAAATTTTAATCATGTGAATAAAAATATCATGAATAAATATCAATCATTTAAAATAGAAATAAAAAAGAAAGAATAAAACAATAATCAAATGGATAAATATACAAATCATTCCACAATTAAAATAAATTAATTAAAATGCTGTATTTTTAGTTCAATGATTAAATAAAATTGAATGATAAATCGAAAATAGATAATTGACAATGAAATTAAAAAGAAACAACAAAATTCACAATGATTATAATTAAATGATGAATAAATATGAAATAAATTAATAACAATAAGAAACATGTATTTTATTACAATAATTACAATAGATTCTATATAAAAAGAAGAAAGAATAAAAGAAAGAATATAAAATGAGAAAATGAAATACATGAATTATAAAATAACAGTTCATAATAATAATTGAAAAATAAAGAATAAATAAAGAATAAATAGAATAAAAAGAAATGAATGAAAGAATTTATTTAGAAACAAACAAAAATAGAATAACAAGAAGAATATAAAGAAAAAGAAAGAATGAATAAATAGAAAAACATAAAATATAAAAATAAGATGTATCAAATTATAATATAATATTTAAAACAATTGAAATACAATCAAAAATAAATAGAATAGAATAAATAACTCATAATGAAATAATATAAATGAATGAAATAATACATATTTGAACATGTTATTTAATAAAAATGATGTATAATTATGATTAAAATTAAAGTAAGATAAATGGATTTAACATATGGGTTAAATTGGTTGAATAGAATTTATTCAAATAATTATGATAATTCATAATGGCAACGAAAAAAAGCAAATAATTGAAAAAGAAGAGAATGAATGATATAAAAGAATAAAAAGAAAGTAAGAAGTAGAATATGATGAAGAAAGAATAAAAGTAGAAATGAGAGAATATAAAAAGAAAGAAGGTAAAGTGTAATAAAACAAAAGAGATGATGAAAGAAGAAAAGAATGAAAAAAATCAAGGATGCAAATTTTATTGAAACAAATAAAAAAGCACAAAAATTAATGATGCAAAATATCTAGCAACATATTTTATGGATGCAAAATATTTTGAAATAAAAATAAATCATCATTTGATATTATTATTATATTTGATAATAAATTATATTATATATTAAATACATCATATTTCTTTATTATTTATCTTTTATTTCTTTTTATTATTTCATATATTAAATTATTATTCATTCATTTATTATTTATATTTCATTTATTAAA